CTCACTGCTCTTGATTGAATAACTTTTGTAACTTTAATAAGGATTAATCTTTAATTTATACAGTCAAATATGCAATGCTGTTTTACATTTCATTATTTTATTCAATATATGTACCTGAAACTAATGTTAAACCTACCTAAAAAAACTGAAATCACTGTTTATTTTAGTTGTATTTTTACTCTATTGTATTTATTTGTGCTGTTGCTTGTAGCTAGATAGATTATTCTTATTTTATTTATTTTTATTTGACAGTATAGTTTTTGCCTAAACATAGCACATACCGAACCGTACCGAAACCGTAACTCTATAACCGTGATACAAACCGAACCGTGAGTAAGTTGAACCGTTCCACCCCTAATATATATATATATATATAAATGATGCATATATCCAATAATGCAATGTTAGAAAAAGAGAACCAGAAATCAAGAGAGCAAATGTCATTCCTTAATGAAAAAGTTTATTTCAGCTGAGCACCACACAGAATGTATGACCTGTGCTGGGAAAATGAGTCGCGATGAGCAAATCTTCTACTAAAACAAGTTATTTTTATGTTCACAATCTCCATTAAAAAAAGCCTTCAATGATATAGGATTTGTTGGAATCGGACAAAAAAAAAGAAAAAAAAAAAGGACTACACCCGTTTGTAGTCGATAGAGTCAGCAAAGTCAATTTTGAGAAAATTTTCTGAAGATCCCAACGCAAAACCACCAAGCAATGTTGCATCTTTTCCTCTACTTCTTTTCTTAATAACAATTACTATATTAACAATCACAATATAGATAGTTTTTTAATCTTTGCATTAGAACAAGGATGCAAATAAACAGTAGAACAAATATAAGAAATTCAATAGTGCATTACTTTTTTAATCTTACATCTAAAAGCATTCAACAAAAACAAATAGGCTAATAAAATGTAAAAATCAATTTAGTGTATTCATCACAAATAAACTGATTATTTATTAAAACTACAAAAGCAGTTCAATCAAGAGCAGCGAGTGATTCCCTCTTTTCTTTTACTGTCTGATTAACATTAATGCGACAGACAGCTGATATAGTAAGACTGTAATGTACAGTTAGAGTACATCATGCTATTCTGTGCAGTATTCTCGTCGCTTCATAACGTTACGGTTGAACCACTGATGGCAGATGGACTATTCTGACAAAGTCTTTCATACTTTTCTGGACCTTGACAGTGTAAGTTACTTACTTACTTACACAAGCCTCCTGGTTTTCATCCAAAATATCTTAAATTGTGTTCCGGAGACGAACGGAGCTTTTAGGGGTTTGGAACGACATGGGGGTAAAGTGATTAATGACAAGATTTTCATTTTGGGGTGGAGTAACCCTTTAACTGTTCCCTCCTGGTGGATCTCCATCTTTATTTGACCCTCTAACTCTAGCACACTCTATTCTAATTCTATTCTTTAAAAAAAAAAAAAAAAACTTGCCCCTTATAGACTTGCACTCTATTCATTTACTGCTTGTTTTCTTTAAAAAAAAAACAAAAAAAAAAACACTAGCTTCTCTAATCTTTTTGTATTCTATCGGTTTTCTTTTTATTTATTATACAATTTAAAAAAAACCTTGCTGCATGTACTGCGTTAGTCTAACTGAGACTTGTTATAGCACTTGCGTATCATTGCTCTTTTGTTGGTTTTGACTGCTTCTATTGTCCTCATGTGTAAGTCGCTTTGGATAAAAGCATCTGCTAAATGACTAAATGTAAATGTAATGTGTGCCACCCATTTCACCATAGATTTGTGATGCAAGGTGTTTATAAACCTGAAGAGCTCCTCGTGTGTTCGCCCAAAATATGAACTTGATGGTTTAACATTTAAAAATTAATAAATAGACATAAATATTAGTATTGTCATTTCATATTGAACAATATGATTTTTATTTTACAATACAATAATATCGAAAAGTTAACATTTCTCATTCTGTTTAATATGTTTATAAGAATAATAATAATAAAAGTCACATTTATGTATAAATCACAATTTTTGGGGCTGAATTTCACATCCTATATCATAACCATGACTATATATTACATCCCAACCCATAATAGTTATTGTAGCATGCTGAATAGTGATGCCGTTGAAATGCAATCACAGAAAAGCATTTTAAGATATCGGCATCAGTCATTAATAACATACTGATCGACCATTAGTCAGAAGAGAACATCAACCGCTTTACAGCAGACGCTGACCGATATTACCAGAACAAACACAGTAAAGCACAGTGTCTTCGAATAATAAAAAAAGCAACCCTATGTGTGGATAAATCATCCTGATAGCATTCTTCAGTGAGGAAGAGCAACACTAAAACCACTGAGAGCACACAACACTTACACACCTCCAGCAAAGTCCCACGAAGCTACATCTGATTAATAAAACACCTCTACATTTTAACTATTCGTAAAAATATAAACTTGCAGACTGATCTGCGTTACAGGAGCACTTATCTGAATTTCTATTCTAAATAAGGCCTAGCAGTTTTGTCGGGATCTTGTATCTTCGGTTTGTTATGATTTATTTTAGAGGCGTCTTTGTGGATTAATTGTGGTTTGGTTGTTGTGTGTGCTTTCTTGTGTTGTTTATATCTGAGCCCTTTTCCTAAGACAACTTTCAATCACTGGTTGATAGATAATAACGTTTTCTGAATCTTTGAATCTTGATTACAAACAAACGGGTATTTAACGTTAGTTAGGTAGAGAATGGACAACAGAAAGTGAGATCTGCAGACAGATGGACTGACGGATAAACAGCAGATGAAACTGTATCCGACATCTTTTGTCTGATTGCGAGCACAGATTGATGTTAACAGCTCAGTGTGATATCCATCAGTGAAGGCAGAGGAGACTCTGGGGCGTTATATAGCTACAGCTAACGTTAATTTACACTGACATTCGCATGCGCTTTGGTCATGACTCATGAGAAGAATCCGATCAACAAGCGCAGGCTAATCATCTTCATCTTCATCATGCTGTGTTTTACACACCTCAGACACACGACGTCACTGACTGGAGCACCGCTCGCGTTAGTGTTGTGAAGGATTGACCAGCAGCATCATTATCAGATGCTAACGGCTAATGCTAACGCTGTCCTCACGCCAGTCTCCACACTGCGTGCGCGCACCCGCGCCGCTCGCATCACCGAAATCTCCACACTGCGTGCGCGCACCCGCGCTGCTCGCATCACCGAAAACACACACAAAGCCGCCGGTAACGGCACTGAGAATCAGCCGAGGCCGGTGGATGCCGGTGGACGCGGTCATGTGTGCGACATACCTCGCTGCTGACGCTCTGCACCTCCATTTCGCGCGAGGACTCCAGCGCGGGGCCGAAGGACGTCATGCGGTCGAACTAGACGCGTGCTCCGCGAGGCATCTCCGCGTCGTGTGTGTCCGTTAAACGCGCGTGTGATCAGCTGACGCGAGCGATAGAACGCGCGGGCCGCTGCGCTGCGCTCCCGATCCGCTCAAATATGGCCGTCTCTGCGCGCGCCGGCTGAAGACGCCAGCGCTGACGTCACTGTGACGCAACCCGGCGGAGGATTTCCCACAACATCCGGACACTGAACACACGGAGCTCATGTGATTAAAGGATTAGTTCACACACAACGGGGAAAAAAATACTATGGAAGTCAATGGAGACCAAAAACTGTTTGGTTACCCACATTCTTCAAAATGTCTTCACAAGAAAGAAACTCATGCAGGTTTGGAACAATTTAAAGGGGTCATATGATGCGATTTCAATTGTTTCTTTCTCTTTGGAGTGTTTGGAGCTCTTGGTGCATAAAGAAGATCTGTAAAGTTGCAAAGACTAAAGTCTCAAATCCAAAGAGATATATAGCTGGCTAATCAGAGCACACCTCGCTTTTCAGACCGATTAGTTTTGTAAAAATCGACGCGTTTCAGAAGGCGGGGCATAGAGGAGAAACAATAATGTACAGTATGTGGAAAATAATGTGGTTTTTTTTACTTTAAACCGCATAAACACATTTCATTACACCAAATACACAAAATAATGTTCTTTTTAGCAGCATCATATGACCCCTTTAAGGGTGAGCAAATGATAGACAGAATTCTTGGGTTTTTGGGTGGACTATCCCTTTACATGCATGCATAAAAAATGTTATTGCACACACAGCACAAAATTGTGCTTTACCATATAATACTCCCAATGTAGTTGTGCGATCAGAAGTAATGGCAATTAAGATTTTTATGTCATCTACATTCAGGTGGCCCGAGACGATGGAATAGGCTCCAACATTCCCCTAACCCTACAAGAGAAAGCAGTTTATGAGAAGGAAGGCTGCTGTGTCCATATTAAACATTCAAACGTGTCAAGTATGACTCGCCATTTAGGCCAGTGAGCTGTTTTCTCATTTGACCAATTAAGCAGGTACAAGGTCTGGAGTTGATTATAAGTGTGTCATTTGCACTTGGAAGCTGTTGCTGTGAACCACATCATGCGGTCAAAGGATCTCTCCATACAAGTGAAACAGACGATTGTGAGGTTTCAGAAACAAAAGGTGTCCATATATATATTCATATATAATTTCAGAAATTACTGTGTGGTGAATTCTTCATCATTTGAATTGTGTGTGTGTGTGTGTGTGTGTTTAAGCTGTTTTCATTAAGCTGTTGTCTATCACTCTAAGTAGAATGTGATATGAACTTTTCACTGAAAATATAGTTGGGACATTTTCTGGTATTCAGAGCCTTTTTTGTGTAACAGGGTTAAAAATGTTACTTTGAATGTTATAACTTTCACCAAAATTACTGTGTTTTTGTTCATTTAATAATTGTTTGGAGACCTCTTGTGGCGATATTAAGTATTTGGGGTAATTTGCCTTGCCTGTGAAACCACACCCCCACCCCCAGCAGAGAAGTTTATCTGATGCTGAGAGGTGGTAGGTAAAATGTGCTCCCGCAAAATGAGTTTTCTTTGTAACTTGACACTACTTGATTTCACAAATAATATTAAGATTAACGGTTAATGATGTTGTGTAACAAGATGTTAAGTGACTGTGATTGTATTTGATGAACTTCGTGGAGTTTGGATGCAATTTGCTCAACATGTGCGTTGCATGGCTGACGCCATCTCTTTGAATCAAACACAGGGCAGACAAGTTTTTCTGTTTGCTCTTTTAGATGAATGTACATGTGTATAAATGCCCACTGTCGCCAGAGGATGCATTTCTCTCCTTGTTGTGTTACAGTAAACAACGCATGAAACGCAGTTCTCTGTGTCCATCTGTGATTTATGTGCTGTTGGAAGAGAAGCGTTACACTGGTGCCGTGACTCGTCGCATCGCGACGCAACGCAGATCGCCGTGTGGTTGCTGAATTTCGAAGAACGTCATACTTTCACCGCGGAATCAAGAAGACTGGACGAATAGTAGACTGGTTGGTCGTTCCTTTTACATTCTGGACAGTATTTCTTGAGTCAAGTGAAACATTTCATGAACTTTGGACTCAGTTTGAACTTTGGACTTAGTTTGAACTTTGGATTCAATTCGCCATGCTTTCGTGATTGAATTATATCCGTTTAGGCAAGTTCATGTCTAATTTTGCATTTTTGTAAGGATTTTTTTTTTCTTTCTACTTTACTTTATTTTTCTTTTTTTTCTATTATTTTTTACCCCCCCATCCATTTTGAAATAATGGCTGAGAAATTTCCTTCAGATTATGATGCTACTAGCCCATTTGTCCCTAGAGGGAGGGGTGTTTTACTTTCTGGGTTGAATAATAGTGGCATGACACGCAACGAGTCATTTTGTGGACGGATTGGCCATCTCCAGTCTACGAGTGATAGTGAAAGGGGTATAGGGCGTGGACATACCAGTTCTAGAGAAGATAGCGCAAAATAGCAATGTTCCTACTTCACAGAGTGCTGATTTTAGGCAAGGTGTTGAAGTGTCGATATGTGATGTTATTCTACTAAAACTCATTGCCTTAGAGAAAGACTTTGTTTCTCTTGTTTTTCCTCAGGGCACTCGCGGAATGCATGTCCACGCAGGGTGTCAGCTCGGCGCAATCAGAATGGGGGAAACTAATGGACCCGTATATGGTGGGGGGGATATACGGGTCTAGGTGATAACTCCCGTAAGACTGATGTTGGTGCTGGAGCTGCATTAACGGTGGACAAAGACTTCTGTGATTCAACCGAGAATGTTATTGTACAGAACACAAATACAGTATGCAAAAGTGATAGTTTGTTTTACATACCAGTTATCGTGGGGGATAAGTTGACTCTTAACGGCATGCTTGATAGTGGGTCAATGGCTTGCACAATGAGTGAGAAGGCAGAGGCCAACCTCCTCGATGCTGGTGTGTTGGCAAAAGAGAGCAAATCCAATTTCGATGTAGTTCTGATAGGCTGTGGCGGCAGCCGAGTAAAGCCTAAATCTGCTTATGATGTTGAAATGGAAGTGTATGGCTGTAAAGTCATTGTGCCTACTCTAGTTGTACAAGGCCAACTGGATGACCTTATAATAGGGACAAACGTAATCAAACATGTGATCCGTGAGTCTAAACGTTGTCCTGCATACTGGAAAGCATTGTCTTATCCATGTCTGAATACTGATCTAGAATCAGAACAATTTCTCTCCATGTTGGCAGGGGTGGAACGTTGGAAGGGTGGGGAAATCCCAGACAAGATCGGTACAGTCAGATGTGCTTCAGCAGTATGTCTGGAACCCGGCCGTGAATACCTGTTGTGGGGAAAGTTGGATAAGTTTTGTGCCATTTCCCCAGGCAGTACTGTGATAACTGAACCTACTACTTCAAGATCAGCCCCTAGACATGTGTTAGTAGCAAGACTTGTCACACCCTTGTGGGGTGATGGTTGGGTACCGCTGAAGCTCATTAACATGTCTCATCAACAAATTTTGTTGAGACGCAATGCAAAGATTGCTGATGTGTTTGCATGTGTGGCACTTGAGGATATGGAAGATGTTGTACCCATTAGTAATGATGTTCCTTTGTTGAGCTCTTCTCAGGTTGCTGACTCCACAACAGATTGCATTCGCTAGTAAATCGCTGTCTCGATCACAGAGAAACTATTCTGCTCATAGGTTAGAATTTCTGGCTTTAAAATGGGCAGTGAGTGACAAGTTTAGCCACTGGCTAAAAGGTAACAAGTTCACTGTCTGCACTGATAATAATCCACTGACCCATATAATGACAAAGCCGAAATTGGATTGTTGTGAGCAGCGATGGGTAGCTAAATTAGCCAGCTATGATTTCGACATTAAGTATGTCCCAGGCTCTCAGAATACATGTGCGTTGCATGGCTGACGCCATTTCTTTGAATCAAACACAGGTTTATCTCTCATTTCTGTTTGCTCTTTTAGATGAATGTACGGGAATTCAAATGCCCACTGTCGCCAGAGGATGTATTTCTCTCCTTGTTGTGTTACAGGTATGTTTATTTGTTTGAATCTTGACTGTTAAAACTGTTCTATTAAGACAGATGCGCGCTGTGTTGCGTTCTGGTGTTCGTTAAGAGCAGAGAAGTTTATCTGATGCTGAGAGGTGATGAATGTACATGTGTATAAATGCCCACTGTCGCCAGAGGATGTATTTCTCTCCTTGTTGTGTTACAGTAAACAATGCATGAAACGCAGTTCTCTGTGTCCATCTGTGATTTATGTGCTGTTGGAAGAGAAGCGTTACATTTGCAGTGTTGCTATTATGTACACAATACGCCAGGCATATGGTTCCACCAGGACACCAGAGGTGGCCCAAATCACCACTGTGCAATTATTTTTGAGTTTATTTTTAATTTTAGCTTGTATACACAAACATGTTTTGCCCATTAATAATGTAGTGAAATAAAATCTGCAAATTATAGAAGGTGATTAAACATGGTCTCCTGTCACTTCAAAATACAGAGCGCCTGATGTTAACAAAGCAAAGAACATGTTGGATGGAAAGAGGGACTTGTCAGGTGGCCCAAAGCGAAAATGTTACAAAAAAGTAGTGAAGGAGGGGTGGAAAGGATGAAAAGTTACTTTACAAACTCCGTATTTTAAAATCAGAATAAACAGAATATTGGTTGATTCCAGAGTACTTATACTAATGAGGACTAATGCTATTTTGCCCTCCCAGCCATGTAAAGAATGAGGTTTATCTAGATAGTGGTGTATATAAGACTGGTTAAAATTGCAGCTCTGCAATGATAAATTAGCTGTATGATTTGTGTTTGGAAGCATGTTGTTCAGCTGTGTTTGATAATTCCTTTATTTTTGTGCCTTTGGGAATGTCATTATTAAAAAATTAAATAAATAAATGAATGAATGAATGAACAAATAAATAAATAAAATAGGTAAGACAATTGTTAAATATGAAATTTTTGTGCTAGAGGGACGTTTTATTCCTGAATAAAAACAATTAATTTTCTGGTTTGTGAAACGCTTGCACGCTGTTTGCATGAACACAATATCTATTGAAATTGAGGATATGTTACGAATATATGATATTCTTGATACTGCACTGATCTATATGTTGTTAGGTTGACAAAAAGTTCAAAAAGTTATTTTTAGGCTGGTAAGTAGTGCTGGGCGGTATACCGGTTCATACCGAATACCGGTGTTTATTTTTGTTATGATATGAATTTTTAAAATACCGCAATACCGGTGTATGTCACTTAAACAACGTTGGGAACGCGACACTGTTTGAAAGGGGTCCCTTTTCACTGGTGCACTGTGGTGAGGGAACAGCTCCACAATATCCGCATTGACCGCCACAAATATCCACCGCCCCCTGCCATCAGCTCCCGCGTCTCACACACACATGAGCGTGACTTTAGCACTAGATTTAGCAACTTTCAGACCCTTTTAGCGGCTTTTTTCCATAGAATATTCATACTGACAAACCTAGCGACTTTTTTTGGATAAACCTTAGCTATGGTTCAGTTGGAAGATTTCGCCAGTGCTGCCCCGTGAACGCGAGGTCTGACTTTCCCGGAGAAGTGTCACCTCTCTCGGCGTCTGTTCTGTGCAGTGAGCGGCAGAGAAGCACCGCAGCCGACTCGTCAATAAATGAGTACAAAGCAGCGTTTCCTAGCACCGGTCGCGTACTGAGTGTTTGGGATTATAAATATGTGCATAGTTCGTCTGTTAATATCACATGCACTTTTTTGTTTGTTGTTTTTTTTAGTTAGTTACTCAGATGCAGGCAGTGCTGCTGCATGAGACAAAAAAGTAATATAGCCAAAACAACCGCATAGCCGCTCTTTAGTGTAGATGCATGTTGATTTTATCAGACGATGCCGCGATTATAAATGAGAGTGACTCCTGGTTAACATGTATTAAAAGGGGTCGTGTTTAGTCACTATTTAGTGTGGTATTTTTTTGACAATATTCACTCATCATGACAGTAAAATAGGGCATTCTAAGTCCATATACTGCAGTATTTCCTCTCAATCAGTAGAAAATATGGTTAACACCCGGTCATGCATGGGGAAAAAAAAATACTGTCATAATTTTAATTTTATGCATTTAGCAGACGCTTTTATCCAAAGCGACTTACAGTGCATTCAGACTATACATTTTTTACCAGAATGTGTATGTCATGTACCGTGAAACCAGTATAATTTTGAAAAATACCGTGATATAAATTTTTGGTCATACCGCCCAGCACTACTGGTAAGCCTCAGCAGTCTAACATTGCTTGTCATTGTCAAAATGATTGAGATGGCCAATCAAATCAAAGAAGGTGGGTTTTACTGTTCACAGAACCCCAATTAACTTGACTGGCTGAATTTCATCTTGCAACATCATACCTTGATGTATCCTACCTATTGTAATGAATTACAAAAGATAATCAGTATTAAACTGTTAAATAAATCACAGGAAGCACTGTGGACAGAGGACTGATCTCAGGGACACCCGGACTTGGACTTGAGACCACTGGAAGTGGAACCACAAGAGTCATGGTTGATGAATTCAATGTTCAACCAAGCTCCATACCTACCATATAGTATGTACAGAGTGAAAAGCAACAGTCCTAGTACTGAGCCTTGTGGTACTCCATAATGAACTTGTGAACGATATAATCAGGGGTGCACATAAGTGGTCCGCAGGTCCGCGTGCGTGATCAAAATAAGAAATGCGCTGTGTAAATTAGTTCAGAGCGCGCGTTTACGTACCTACATGGTTGACAGCTGTTAATTACCATTTTTGATCGACAAACTGTACTGTATACAATTTCTATTCAAACTGAAAGCATAAATGTAGACTACCCGCTAATGTTTTCAAAGCACAATGCAAAACTGTGACATTTCATTCACTGACGCTCTACAATCGGCAGCGCTAAACCCGGAAGCACATGGACTTACTTGCCGGCAACCCGCCAAAATAAAAGCTTGGTGATTTTAAGTTTGAAAAGGAAAAATTTTAATAATTCAAATAAAAAATAATAATTAAGGTTCAAATTAAAATAATAATAATAATAGCATTTTATTTTTAAGTTTACTATAAAATAATTGTATTTGTATTTAATACTCCCTTTTTATTTTAAAATAAAATAGTATTATCATACTTTATTATTTAGTTTATTATTTTATTTTTTAAAAACTAAATAAAGTGCAGTAATATTATGACTATTATTAATTTATTTTTTATTGTTATATTTGATGGGTCACACCATGTGCCGTGTGTGGACCAAACCAAATCTCCAGGTTCTCATAAGAGAACCAGGCTGAAAAACGTATGTGCACCCCTGGATATAATACCTTTTCATTTACTGCCACAAACTGATAATGGTCAGATAAATACGATTTGATTCCACTAATGTGATTCCACATAATGCCAACGTATGCCAGCCTGTTCAAAAGAAAGTTGTGGTTGATAGTGTCAAATGCAGCACTAAGATCCAGTAACAATAATACAAAGAGAGATACAACCATGATCGGACAATAAGAGCAGGTAATTTGTAACTCTGATGAGAGCCGTCTCAGTACTATGATACGGTCTAAATCCTGACTGCAAATCCTCGCAGATGCCATTTCTCTCTTAGAAGGAACATTGTTGTGAGGATGCTGCCTTTTCTAGTATCTTTGACAGAAAAGGGAGATTTGAAATGTTTCTGTACTAATTCTGTAGGATCAAGTTGTGGTTTACAAAACTTCCAAAAAAAGTTTAAAAATCCTCCATGTCTCAACTGCCTTGACGGAGATGCAAGAGGCGAAGTGCTGGGTTCATGGCTAGGGTCTAGTTTTTGTAACATACGTCCACTGAAGGCGAGTTAAAGATGAATCCATGTGCAGTTTCTTAACAAAACTTGATCAAAACAAACAAAATAAATGCTTGACTAGAACCATGAAATGGACTTAAACAAACATGAACTCACCTACAGTGGTTACATTCAACAAAGCTAACCATAAGACAATTGGAGCATGAGGGCTATATATATACATTTAGTCATTTTGCAGATGCTTTTATCCAAAGCGACTTACAATTGGGGAATACATAAAGCGATTCTTCTTAAAGAGGCAAACAGGAAGTGCTCATAATACCAAGTTTCAGAGAAAGAAATAAAGAGAAAGACTTTTTTTTTTTTTTAGTAAATTTAGGATGAAGTCAAGTAGTGTCGAAAGAGATGAGTTTTCAGCTGTCGCTTGAAAATTGTCAGGGATTCAGCATTCCGGATAGGGGTGGGAAGATCGTTCCACCAGCCAGGAACGGTGAACGAGAATGTTCTGGAAAGTGATTTTGAGCCTCTCTGTGATGGTACCACGAGGCGTCGCTCACTAGCGGATCTCAGACTTCTGGAGGGGATGTAGATTCGTAGTAGTGAGTGGAAGTAGGCGGGTGCTGAGCCTGTGGCTGTTCTATATGCAAGCATCAATGTCTTGAACTTGATGCGAGCCACAACCGGTAGCAGTGCAAGGAGATAAAGAGAGGTGTAACATGGGCTCTTTTGGGCTCGTTGAAGACCAGTTGTGCCGCTACATTCTGAATCATTTGTAGAGGTTTGATTGTGCTTGATGGAAGTCCAGCCAGAAGAGCCGGAAGACAAGAAGCTCAGTCTTTGCCAGGTTGAGCTGTAGGTGATGTTCTTTCATCCATGCCGAGATGTCCACCAGGCAGCCTGACACACAGAGACTAATGACCAACAATCAGAATGTGATACATAAAACAACTACAACAACAACAACAAAAAAACACATGGACAGGGGATGCACATGACAGGATCACATGACAAACAGTAAACATGATTATGACTACACTTCAAATAAAAGAAATGAAAACTTAAACATGATACAAATCCTAAAACCAAATGTGGCACAGGGGGGGCCTGAAACAGTATTAGAAATTATACAAATTAGACACACATTTTATAAGGTATAAAACTACAATTGATCTGTGCAGTGTATAAGGATTGACAGTCGAGCAGGTGCTGAAAGGTAACATAAGGAAACTGGTCCCACTTTATATTAGATGGCCTTAAAGGATTAGTTCACTTCCAGAATAAACATTTCCTGATAATTTACTCACCTCTATGGCATCCAATATGTTCATGTCTTTCTTTCTTCAGTCGAAAAGAAATTAAGGTTTTTGAGGAAAACGTTCCAGGATTTTTCTCCATATAATGACTTCAATGGGGATCAACAGGTTGAAGGTCCAAATTGCAGCTTCAAAGAGCTCTACACGATCCCTGCCGAGGAATAAGGGTCTTATCTACCGAAACGATCTGTCATTTTCAAAGAAAAATATACATTTCTGTACTTTTTATCCACAAATGCTCGTCTTGCACTAGTCGACTTTACTCATTACGTAGTCATGTTGGAAAGGTCACTCGTGACGCAGGCGGAAATACCGACCCACTGTTTACAAAGCCAACGTGCAAAGATTCCCCTTGTCCTTTGCACTTGACCACTTGAGCCACCCCGAGAAACCAATCATCCAACCTTGAGGGTTGTGGACTCGGTGGGGCTTTCTAGTCGAGCCCGACCCTCTCGGCGGCAGCTGGATACAGTCATCGCATGCCTATGTGCATTGGCTTGTTTAGTTTACACTCAAAGTAGATTGGCCTCTAGAAGCGAAAACCCAATTCGTTGGTCAATACTGACGTGACGTCGAGAGTGACCGACTGAAAGGGAACTGAATTTTCATTTTTAGGTGAGCAGTTCATTTGTAATTTTAGCAGTACCTCTGTTTAACTGTTTTCATGTCAGTGATGAAATGTTGATGATGATGATTATTTTAGGGTCCAGCAGCAGAGATTGCACAGACATTAAGGTGGAGGTCAGGAGGATTGACTATGGAGATGTTGTTTGCGTCTCTCTTTGGGATGTTAAGGAACTGTGTGGAGAAGCAGCATCCATACCTGTGCAAGCGCTGCAGGTCTCTCTGGTGAATGTGGGTGACTCTAGTAATATTACTGTAGGGTTTATTTATTTAGTTTTAATGCATTAAGCTGTATTTTAACTTGTGTGTTGTAGGTGAGGCCAGTGAATGGAGAAACATGGTCTTTTGAAGCGATCAGCTGGTTCAAGAGTAAAGTGCAGAACAAGACTCTTTATGCCAGGCTTTACCCAGAAGAAGGAGAAGTTTTGGTTGAACTCTTCATGGAGAAGGGAAAGATTGGTGCTATGAGGTAAGGACGACCCCATTCTCACTTAAATATTGTTCACAAGCATTACAGAAATATCTAAAGTGTGCTTTTTTGTTCAATTGGTATCCGACACTTGCTAATCCCACTTTAAAGGGGTCCTATTATGCTTTTTCACTTTTTGAATTTTAGTCTGCACAGCAAATCTGAAATCGGAAATTTAACAACAATAGAGTTAAATTTAACACTTTGTCAGTGTATATATGGATACCACCACATGAGTGTTAATGTAACACTTTCAAAAGTGTTGATATTACCAACACTAATATGGTGTTAAAATGTAACACTATTAGAGTTCAAAAACAACACTGCAAAAAGTAGTTGATATTACCAACACTAATAGGGTGTAAAAATGTAACACTATTAGAGTTCAATAACAACACTGCAGTAAGTGTTTAAAACTCCAAACGGTTGTAAAATGTTGAACTGTTAAAACAAAACCCTTCAAAGCCAAATTTCAACTGTTTATTTAACAACATAGCACATGCAGCTTCGGTGCTCATTAAAATTAACGATCAATTAATTGATTAATCATTAACCATAATAATGCTAGATGTGTCACATCAGTGGTACATCGTCAACGGCATGACAGGATGTGCAAATGACATTTAAAACGCAAATATCCTCACCCAAATAAAAAGTTTACTGTAAATAAAAGGCTAGGATTATAAAAATAATCAGTGAAGGATAACTTAATAGAACCATTTAATGATTAAATGTAATGGCTAATATACAAGGGTGCCCAACCTTGTTCCTGGACAGAGATGCAAACAGGTAAGGGGGAAAAAATGTGAGAACATTGCACGGATTAAGGGCATGCTCCACACAGAATTTATTTTAAAGATATTTATTTACATGCTGTTTTGTAGTTACTTTAAGGTTATTTTTATTACCTTGTATGTCCAAAACTGTTATTTTTAACAAAAAAACAAAAAAACAAAAAAAAAAATTAACTGAAAGGTGAGGAGTTTGCATCTATGCTGGAGATCTACCTTCCTACAGAATCGAACCAACTAATTAGGATCTGAAGGAGCACTTGATAATTACAGACGGGTGTGTTTGATCAGGGTTGGAACTGAACTCTGCAGGAAGGTAGATCTCCAGGACCAGGGTTGGGCACCGCTGGTTTAAATGGATAGATTCACCCAAAAATGAAAAACAGGTTGGGAATAATTGGAGGGTGAGTAAATGGCAGAAATTTTGGGTGAACTACCCCTTTAATTAAGTCCTTATATTGTCCTTCATACATCAAAAACTAGAATGGGAATGATCATGAATAGATGTAACTTTTAATTAAGCTGTTAATGCTTTCTACATAAATAAACCTCTCCTTCCTCACATCTCTGGCTGAAGCACCCTGTAACACCTCGTTGTCCATGCACGCTCTTTTAGATTCCATGCTAAAATACGGATTAAAGAAGTAGGGTTAATTTTATTTTATTTTTGGGTGAACAAATGTCTGAGGAAGAGCAAAAAGGCAGCCATTTAAACACACTTATGTACATTAAATTACTTTATTAATTTACTCACCAGATATACTTCAGCAACTCTCTTAAGCGAGGAAAAATGGCGTCTGGAAGATTTGCACCAGCAGAGACTGAGCTTCCCCTCGCTCGTTTGGGCGCGAAAATACGAATTAAAGGAAACGTTGATTTTTATTTTTTTTTTACAGACTGGTGGCTGTAACAGCGCACAAAATAGCCTTTACGGAGACAGAAATACCGTGTAACGTACATGTAAATGTTATGCTTTTAGGCACCATGCAGGAGAAAAAAAAAACTTGTCCAGGTCCAATAATGTTAAGTCCATGGCTATACAACTACTTAATGTCTGTGAAAGTGCAAAACGCGGCCATTTAAACACACTCATGTACATTAAATTACTTAAAATAACATTCTAATAGCGGTCAGTATTGACTAGAAGCCAAGAAATTACCGCTTAGTTCGGAGAACTAACTACACAAACAACCAATATTGAACCGCCAAAATTTACTACTGTCGCGGTATCTGGAATAATTCTACTAATACACGAAAAACAATTTCTAGACAGAAAGTCTAAAATAAGCACACATAAATAGATTTACTCACCAGATATACTTCAGCAACTCTCTTAAGCGAGGGAAAATGGCGCCTGGAAGAATTGCACCAGCAGAGACTGCGCTTCCCCTCGCTCGTTTGGGCGCTAAAATACGAATTAAAGGAAACGTTGATTTTTTTTTTTTAACAGACTGGTGGCTGTAACAGCGCACAAAATAGCCT